ACTGGGGACGTGCCCACAACTAAGGTACATGCCCTTGACTGGAATCAAACCTGGGACCCTTGTGTCCACAGGCCGACACTCTATCCACTGAGCCAAACCGGTTTGGGCTCTCTCTCCTTGCTTATCTGAGAGTTCATTTCCCTCCTGGGGAGGGTAACGTCAGAGAAGGGGTCCCTGTGAGGGCAGTCTCCAGGCTACCTTGGGGGGTGAGCCCACCCTGGTGGCCTACTATCCCGCCCCATCTGGTCACCCCGCCCCACCTTAAGTTCTGGTGTGCCCTGCCCCACTGTTTGAGTGTGACTCACAGAGTCCCCTGGTTGCCATGAGTACTTTGTGGGGGGTAATGTTTAATTTTGATATAATGTAATTTGATGTAATTTAGTTTGATAGAATCCCAAACTTACAGAGAAGTTGCATGTATGGTACAAGAAACTCCCATAAACTCCCTATTCAGATTTCCCAGCTGGCCCATTGTTTCTTTACATTATGAAAATTTGAAGTTATCTTCTTTTTTAAAAAAATATACTTTTATTTCAGAGAGGAAGGGAAAGAGAGAGAGAGAGAAACAACAATGGTGAGAGAGAATCATCAATAGGCTGCCTCCCATATGCCCCACACGGGGATCAAGCCTGTAACTTGGGCATGTGCCCTGACTGGGAATCGAACAGTGATCTCCTAGTTCATAAGGTAGATGCTCAACCACTGAACCACACCAGCCAGGCTGAAGTTATCTTGCTATGCTGCCCAGGGTATTTACATGATCGCATTTAGTTTAATTCCAATTTGAAGGTGAAAGTCTGTTTTAAGGATACACATAGTATTTCTAGTTGTGAAAGTGAGTCTATTACCAATGTGGCGCAAAACTTATTTGAAAAGTGTCCTCCTTGTCATGTAGCATGCTCTTACTACTTGTCCATAGTGATTTTAAGTGCAGCAGTAATTTTTGTTTTAGATTTTTAAAAATATATTTTATTGATTCTTTACAGAGAGGAAGGGAGAGGGATAGAGATTTAGAAACATTGATGAGAGAGAAACACCAATCAGCTGCCTCCTGCACACCCACTACTGGGGATGTGCCCGCAACCAAGGTACATGCCCTTGACCGGAATCGAACCAGGGACCTTTCAGTCCACAGGCCGACGCTCTATTCACCGAGCCAAACCAGTCGGGGCGATTTTAAGTGCAGCAGTCATTTTTGCATGAAGCAGTAGACTATGTTTTAGAGGAAGTTTCAGGTTTACAGAAACATTGCGCAGGAAGTAGTTCCCCTATCCCCCTTGGCCTTCCCTCTCCCAGCGCCCCTCTGACTGGCACCTTGCATTCGTGTGGTGCATCTGGTCCAATCAAGCCAACATTCATACAACAATTCGGTAACAACTAAAGTCCACAGTCCACAGTGTGACTCACTCTTTGCACTGCACATCTGAGGGTTTTGACAAATGCCAGATGGCTTGTATTCTCCACTGGAGTGTCATCTCCATCCGACTGTCAACAGGGGAGTTGCCATTCCTTTTCAGCCTTTCTGCACAGTCCCACCCTTGAGCAGTTTCTGTCAAGTGGGAGCGGCAGGGCCAGTCCGGGTGACAGCCAGGCCACAGGTCTCAAGAATCCTCCCTTCCCCCCAACACGCCCAGGCCAGCAGCGGGACACTCACCGTGGCACTGGAGGGAGCATCCCCAGGGGGCCAGTCCTGCCTTTTCATCGGGTGCAGATGGAAGGACGGGGGAAGGTCAAGGCAAGTGGCATGATTCTACGTGCCAGGACCTATGCCAGGTGCCTGCTGTGTGTTTGCTTCCTTGTCTCCCCGGAGGCCTCGCTGGGTGGCACAGATGGTGGGCTGGTGCCCAGGGGACCGAGGGCAGCTTCCACAGGGGGAAGACCAGCATGCAGGCCTCTCCACCAGGGACCACTGTCAGGACACAGAGGAGGAAGGTCGCTTGTAGAAGACTCGCAGTGGCCAGGCCCCAAGAAGGCAAACTCTGACTCACCTATATGCTAGCCGGTCTGAATGATACACATCTGTGATCAGTGGGTAAGGGCAAAAGTAGAATTGAAACGTTGTACTTCATGGCTTTTGAGCATTTTCTCACATAGTCTCCCAGCTGGGCCTCATTGCAATTCTGAGAACTAGATGAGGCCAGTGAGATGACCACACACATGAAGAAAGGGGCTCACAGATGCCAAGGGCTTGCCCAAGGGCACAGAACGGACCCCCATTCCCATCCCCAAAGCAGCCTTGCCTCAGACCCCATCCCAGTGTGGGATCCGGGTTCCAATCCGAGCCTGAACCCCACTCAGTCCTCCCCACCTGGGTCCTGTGAGATGAATTCTCTGTGTTCTGATTTAGGAAGGTGTCTGAGCCCATCTAAGAGGGCATCACGGAATTTGTGCGGCTCTGACCCTGAACCTAGGGACTTTCCATGTGGGGGTGGGGGTGGGGAGTGGTGGGAGTCCATCAAGGAAAGAATTCTTTAAAGGCTAATCAAGAGTTGACTGCATTAGGGAGGAAACAGGAGGGGGTGGGGGAGAAGCAGGGTCTGAGAAGAGTCTCTGCATCTACCAAAAATTATGAGCGGGTATTAATTTTTTCAATAACTAAAAAACACGATTCTTATTTTAGGAGGAAAATGGCAACAATGTCAGAGGTTGCGAGAGGAAACAAATTAGGGTTTGGCACTTTAAAAAGTTACTTAGCACCCTAACCGCTTTGGCTCAGTGGATTGAGCGTCGGCCTGCAGACTGAAGGGTCCCAGGTTTGATTCTGGTCAAGGGCATGTACCTTGGTTGTGGGTACATCCCCACTAGGAGGTGTGCAGGAGGCAGCTGATCAGTGTTTCTCTCTCATCGATGTTTCTAACTCTCTGTTCCTCTCCCTTCTTCTCTGTAAAAAATCAACAAAATATATTTTTTTAAAAAGTTTCTTAGCCTTTCTATACTCATTTCCTTCATCTGCAGAATGGGCACGCTATGAGAACTAAGTGCCCTCTGGAGAACTAGCGGGAGGTGGTGTCAACCAGTGTCTGGCATTTCGTGAGTGTCCAGTACATGTTTGCTTTCAACAACACATAGACTTTATTTTTTTTAGAAGCATTTTATTTATTTTTTAACTTTTATTATTATTAATTATTATTATTATTCCTCACCTGAGGATATTTTTTTCCATTATTTTTAGAGAGAGTGGAAGGGAGGGGGAGAGACAGAGAGAAACTTCAATGAGAGAGAGACACATTGATTGGTTGCCTCCTGCACAGGATTGAGCCTGTAACTGAGGTAAGTGCCCTTGACCAGAATCGAACTGGGACCCTTCAGTTCGTAGGCTGACACTCCACTGAGCCAAACTGGCCAGGGCTTTTATTTTATTTTATTTTATTTTATTTTATTTTATTTTATCTTTTTTTAAAAAATATATTTTATTGATTTTTTAACAGAGAGGAAGAGAAAGGGATAGAGAGTTAGAAACACCGATGAGAGAGAGACTTTGATCAGCTGCCTCTTGCACACCCCTTCCTGGGGATGTGCCCGCAACCAAGGTACATGCCCTTGACCAGAATCGAACCTGGGACCCTTCAGTTTGCAGGCCGACGCTCTATCCACTGAGCCAAAACAGTTTCAGCCAGCCAGGGCTTTTAGAAGCATTTTCTATCTAGGCAGAAATTGAGAAGATAATATAGGCAGTTCCCATAGGCCTGGACACGTCTCCCTTCTTGTGAACATGCCATGTGCATCTGGTACATTTGTTACAATGAGTGAGCTGCTCTTGGTATATTATTATGAACTACTTTATTTGGATTTCCTGAATTTTAAACCAGCATTTCGTACTTTATTTGGATTTCCTGAGTTTTAAACCAGCATCCTTTTTCTGTGTCAGGATTGCATGCTCACTTCGTTTTTATCATTTTGGGGTTAAAAGACATAGCAAATGCCTCTCCCAGTCCTTCCTTTTCAGGTAGGAGCCACCCAGGCAGTGAAACGTGCTCTCCTGGCCTGCTATGAGGAAGCAGGGGACTGAGTTAGAGCTGAAGGCTGGGTCCTGCACGTGTGTGTGTGTGTGTGTGTGTAGGGGGTGCGGTTGGAGGTTCTGCTTCGGGCTGAGCAGGGGCGTGATGGGTACAACTTGAGCTTCGCCACCAGTTTGAACCTTGTATTGAGCAACGGAATGTGTACCAGCTATTGCCTCAAGGCGGATGAATCAGAGAAGTTTCCTCACTTGTGGTCGAAGAGGAAGCTCGGGTGCCTTATAAAAACCTTCCTGGCTGGACGGTCCTCACCTGCTGACTTCTCGCTAGAGCTCCACACGCCTGTGCATTGAGGGTAAGTGTCCTTTCCTTGCTGGGCCCTCGGGGTCCTCAGAGTGGCGACGGCAGGGGGCCACATTGCAGGCTGTTAGAAGCCACAACCTTCCACTTGCTGGAGCTCCTCTGGGCTGACCACATTAACAATTTTTTTTTCATTTCAGTTTTATTTTTCAATTACAGTTGACATGCAATATTAGTTAGACATTTATGTGCCTTATGGAGTAAAGAGCTGACTGCATTTTGGATCTGCTGAGCGAGGTGGACCCGGTCTCAGGACTTGGGGATGAGCTAGGGAGACCCAGTCTCAGGACTTGGGATGGCAAAGGTGGGCGGGCTGGTGAGTGTCTATAAGGGACCCGTGGCCTTTCACTTGGGGAAAAGGAACAGCCTGGAAACCACAGAACCCTTCCCAGCTGAGCTTGAGTGAGCAGCACCCTCTGGTTATACCAGGAGTTACAGGGACATGGGCCATTGTGGCAGTTGAGGCTGATTTGTTTCAACGTTAGATGGTATTAGATGTCCTCCCTCATCCAACCCACAGATGAAGAGCAGAGAGATCACAGTGCAGATGCAGGGGGAAGCCATCCCTTGTTGAAACTGTTTGATGCAGAAAGAGAAGGGAGATGGGGTCGGGGGGGGGGGGGTGGGAGAGGAACTGTCCTAGACCTGCCTTGTCTCCTGAAGGTTAACGAGAGGCTTGAGAAGATGACTAAGCTGGAAGACCACCTGGAGGGAATCATCAATGTCTTCCACCAGTACTCAGCCCGCGTGGGGGATTTTGACACCCTCACCAAGCGTGAGCTGAAGCAGCTGATCACAAAGGAACTTGTCAACACCATCAAGGTGGGTGACCCCCATCATGGTGAACTTTCCCCCAACCCCCTTCACATTGAGGACAGTGGCAAGGACTAGATGATGGAGAAACAAGGACTTGGGTGGGTTCAACCCCAAGGAAGCTCTCCCTGTGTTGGGGGGAGGGCGGAAGGGCCCCATCTCCCTCTCTGGGTTAACTCCCTCTGTCCCCTCAGGCTGTACTCTCTTCCCCTCTGGAAGGGTTTGCACGTAGGTGAGGTGGAGAAAGGCGGGCAAAGGGGCTGGATTAGTGAACTACAGAGAACCTTCCAGGTCAAGACGTGTGTGTTTCCAGGATGGCTCATGACGGTTGCCTCTCTCTGCCTTCTGTTTTGTAACATGGGATTTTCCAACACCGTTTTGGCCGATAAATGCATGTCCCTGGGGCCTCCCTAAGCGGAGCTCTGAGGATGAGAAAGGGGGAGGGTCTGAGCTCCCTGTGTCTGCTGTCCCCCTTCTCCTAGAACACCAAAGATCAAGCCACCATTGACAAAATATTCCAAGAACTGGATGCTGATCGAGACGGACAGGTCACCTTTAATGAATTCATTGTCCTGGTGGCCAGGGTGCTGGTGACCGCCCATGACAATATCCACAAAGAATAAGCAGCGCTGAGTGGCTTTTCCCCAGCAATGTCTGCAAGAAGAACGGCGGGAAGTGAGAGTGAATAAATGTACTCTTGAAAAGTTCTTAACCGTGTCTGTGCACTTCTTTTCCTTCCCTGACCGTGGCTTTCAAACTTGATGACAACTTACCCCTGCTATTCTGACAGGTCTCACTGAGACCCCTGAGGGCCCCTTCTCTGTTCATTTGTACACCACCTATTGATTAAATGTGCGCCACGTATGCATTAATTCATTCATTCTACAAATATTCTATGATAGCCAGAGACCAAAGACACAAAGTTTCTGTCCTCTTGGGGCTTGCATTCTCATGGGGAGGGGATAGAAAATAAATAGACAAACAAATGGGGTGAGGGAGGGGATGGAGAGTGTGATGGGAGTACATCAAGGAAACTTGAGGCCATATAGATTATGACACACTGGTAGGTAATGTTAGGTGATATGAAGAAAGCTAAAGTGGGGAAGTAAGATTGGGGGAGGAAGTAAGATTAATGCATGTGAGCAGAAATCTAAGAGATAGGAAAGAGAGCAGCATGCAGCTACCTGGGATCCAAGAGTTCCTGGCAGAGCAGCCAGGGCCCTGGGGTGAACATATGTTTGGCTTGCTCAGAGAACACTACCAAAGGCAACGTGCAGGGGCTGAGATGGGGGTGGTGGGAGGTGTATGCCTACAGGGAGCAGGGAGCAGATGTTGGGGAGCACTTGGGAGCCCCTGGGGCTTTTGAGCAAGGGAGCGAGATGACTTCACTTATGTTTGCAAAGGATGACTCTGGCTGGCTTGGTGGAGAAGAGCTAGCCAGAGGCAGGCTAGAGTAGAAGCAGGGTGACCAGCCAAGGAGAAATCCTCCAGAGTAGCCCTGGCCAAGAGAAATAGAATGGGGCCACCCTTGTCATCATCGTATATGTAGCCATATTACTTGAAGCCATATTACTTGAAGCCATAAATGAGGAAATTAACATGAATGGACGTTGAGAACATTATGCTAAGTGAAATAAGCCCGTCAGAAAAAGCTAAGAACCATATGATTTCATTCACATGTGGGATAGGAAACTCATAGACACAGGCAACAGAAAGGCAGGGACCGGAAGAAAGGGTGTGAGAGGTAGTAAAGGGTAAGGGGACCAATAAATGGTGATGGAAGATGACTTGACTTTGGGTGGTGGGCACACACGCAACATACGAGTCATGTATCAGAAATGTACACTTGAAACCTGTATAATCTTATTAACCAATGTCACCTTAATAAGTTTAATTTAAAGAAGAATGAGGAAGAGGAGGAGGTAGAGAAAGAGGAGGAGAAGAAGGGGAGGGGAAGAAAGGAACAGCAGCCAGGCACATCCTTGAGCTCTGGAAAACCCTCCAGAAGTTGGTCCCCAGCCTTTCTCGAGCTGGAGGAATAGGCCAGAAGGACAGAGTTTTTGACAAAATTTAAGAAAGATTAGGCAGCCTGGCCGGTGTGGCTCAGTGGTTGAGCACTTCTTGGTTCTGGTCAGGGCACATATCCAGGTTGTGGGCTTAATCCTCTGGGGTGGAGGGAAAGGGAGGAGGGGACTTGCAGGAGCCGCCTATTAATGTCTTTTTCTCATCGGTGTTTCTATCTCTGTATCCCTCTCCCTTCCACCCTCTCTAAAGTCAATAAAAACAGATTAAAAAAAAAGATTAGGTAACTTGCTGGAGCCAGGCCTGACAGATTTGAGGGAAAGTGAGAAGAAGGAGAGCTCTCTATTGGGGGTGGGGGTGAGTTTGTCCTTCTGTTTATTCAGCGCGATTCTTGGGATTAAAAGGTTAGTTAGCGGCCAAGAATATGACTATGGAAGTTAAATTTCTGGTTTCAGAGTTTAGTTCCACTACCTACTAATTTTGAAACCTTGAACAGGTTATTTAAAATCTCTAAGCCTCAGTTTCCTCATCTATGAAATGGGAATAACAATAGCACTTCCCAGAGCTGTGGATCAGATCATCTGAGGGCACTTGTAAAGCACGTTAGCACAGCACCTGATACCGAGAGAGAACTCAGTGGATAGTCATTTATACAGGGGGCCAGAGTTGTAGCTGGTCACAGTCAGCTTCTCTCTCTCTCTCTCTCTCTCTCTCTCTCTCTCTCTCTCTCTCTCTCTCTCTCTCCACTGCAGACACTACAGAGGAAGCTTATTTTAAACCAAAGCAAAGCCTGAGGTTATTTTTTGGGACCAGCTGTTCAGTGGGGATGACCAGTGTTGGACAAGTAACCAAGGGCAGTTAGCAGTTAGGTATGACCTTTCCCCAAAGGCCTCTAAACTAGGCCCAGCTGCTGCTCTGCAAACTGGTTCCTGTGCCATGCACGCACACATGTCTGCGATCACGTCTGAGGGGTATTTAAATTCAAATCTGGTAAAACGAGAAACACACACACACACACAAAATGACAAGAACAAAAAATGAAGTGTATTTGCTATTTTGAAAACATTTACCAGCCATGATTTTGTTTGGAAATAACCAACTAAACCACAAGTTGAACTTCAGTCCTATTTTTTTAAAAACTGAAGGAACCCCGAGTTTGGGCGAAATCCATCAGTGGCACCTGAGGGCAATGAAGAGCACCCTCATCCAGGTTAGCCTCTCAGCTTGCCTGCTTCTTGGCTACGAGTGTGAGCAAGTGACCCCTCTCTCCTCTGGGCCTCAGTCTTCTCCTCTCTGACATGCAGAGCTCAAATGAGGTGACATCGAGTTTCTCACTGAAAAGCCACAGCCTCGTCCCCTGACGAAGGCAGGTCCCCTGACCAAGCCAACGGACCCGAGGATCACTAGAACCACAGGAACCCAAAGCTGGACCTGTCCTCTCCTGGCCAGCCTACAGCCATTCCAGAACATTCTCCTGGTTCCTTGTGTACTGTCAGACTTTGCAAATGTGTGCCCGGTGTCCTACTGTTCTCTGTGTCCAGGTGCCCTCCATCTGTTCACTCACATTGTCAGGTGTCTGCTCTGTGCTAGCACCAGGCTGCTGGGCCCTTCTTGAGCTCTGGAACTCCTGCTTGTCCACAAAGCCCCACCCAAATGTCCCCTCCTCCAGGGAGCCCACCCACTCACACACCCTCATGTTCCCACCTCCCACCCAGAGGAGTTCTCAGCTTGGGGACCCCGGGGCTTGCCTGCCTGTCCACGGCTAGTCTGACAGCATCCTCTGGGCAAGGGTGTCAGTGTGCATGGGGACACCAGTGTACCCCACCTTGCCCTTCAGGAAAATGGTTCTGGCAGGCCACTGTCACCCCGCAGGCCGAGCCCACCTGAGTGTCGAGCCTGGGAATTCAGGAGGAGCTTGGGATTCAGTGGGATCTACGATGGAGCAAGGACAACAGAGACTCAGCATTTAACGTGGCCGACAAAACGTCTTCAAACGTGGAGAGAAAGCAAACAAGGCTGTAAACACCCACCTTCCTGTGTTCTGATTTCTCTCGTTACCTAACCGCTCTGGGTACACAGAAGTTCAAGTTCTGCCCTTGCAAATCTCACCTCGGCATCAACCAGAGGAAGTAATTTCCTCACCCTCCTCTGTGTGCAGGGAGGCTGCCCTCCCCCCCCTCCCCCCTGCCTGCAGCCAGCCCAGAAGGCATCAGAAACACCTGCTCTGCCCTCCCTGGGTGTCTGCTCATCACCCACCTTCGCTTTTTCGGTTTCCCATAGATATCGTAATATTGAACGTATCTACTTGGGTGTCTGTTGCCCCGTGAGACTGAGGATCGCTCCTTGAGGATGCAAATTAAGGCTCAGTTAGTCCCACAGCGGCCCTCAGAGTGACTCCCATCCCTCCTCCTCACAGAGCCAGAATGAGTCCTCCAGTTGCCAATCATATCAAACATCCCTCCTCTGTGATACTTTGAGGGGGGAGGGGGAGGAGGAGACTGGGGTCCAATCTGGCCTGGGATATGACGGAAGACTTGGTGTGGATTTATTGTTTCAGGCCTGAACCCAAGAGGCAACAGAACTTGAGCAACCAGTTGTGTCAGTCCTGCTGTCCTGTGGCCATGGGCATGTCAAAATCCATGGCATGGGCTTTCTAAAGTGTGCGTTTTCAGCAACTGCTGAGAGGCAGGGCCGGACCCTGAGGTTGCTTCTTGGGTTTGTGTCAGAGTCAGGGTTGGGTAAGATTGCCTCAGCAGCTGGCGAAAGCTGAGGCACAGTCTTGGGAAACAGTACAAAATGATCTTCTTTATCCTCCTTAGGGGGTGGTGGGGCATGGACCCCTTGTTGGAATGGGGGCCTGGGGTACCGGAGATCCTGGCTGGATCCATCTTCTCTGAGAAGTGCCCCCTGGATGACGGTGCAGCCCCCTCCTGGGCTTCGTGCCGTTGGTCTCATTCCCACCCCTAATCCACACCCCACAGGGAGACTCTTCTAAACTCCAATTCCCTCCCTAACCACCCCCCTCCCCGCAACACACACACACACACACACACACACACACACACACACACACACACACTGCTCCTGCTGTGGCCTAGCATCTGTCCACTTTCCTCTTCCTCTCGAACCTGAGGCTCCTCATTCCTGCCCAGACTCCCCCCCCCCCCGCCCCTCTGCCCACCTTCAGGCCCAGGCACACATGTTCTCCTCTGTCACAAGCACCTGCATGGTTTGGGGGGACGCCTGCTGCCCCTCACGTTTGAAGCTACCTCTACAGCCCAGACGAAGGACAGCTTTCCCACCTCAAAGTCTTAGGGAACCTCTCGTCAGACTTATCACAGGCCTGGGAGTCCCCTGTCCACAGGACACAGCCTTATTCCCCCTGGGGCCCCCCTGACCATTACAGCGCCTGACACATACACTGCCTGCTGAGTGAGTGAATCAGTGGGCCAACCAGTGAGTGATGCGCTCAGTCATCTGTCCCCTCGTTCTGGGAGCGTCGCCCAGGTCTCGGAGCGTCTGGGCAGAATCCTGCAGCTTAGGCCTCCGCGGTTACTTCCTCATCCCTCCCAAAAGCCATCCGGAAGTTCAGGTTCCATAGCACAGGGAAGCAGGGCCCTCTGATGACAGGTTCTCTGTTCCTGGATGCCAGGGAGACCCCAAAGTTCTTATTTTCCCAAAGGATGCATTCTCAAAGCCCCAGGGGTAGCTCCCCCTCTCCGTTCTCACCTGGGGCGGAACCTTGACCTTGACCCTGACACTCTTGTTCCCTCCTATCTCAGGGAAGAGGCCCGCTCTCCTCTGTTCCGCATACCGGTTTTCCTGGATTGAGAGGGGCTCATGGGATGGAAGGGGCTAACCCACCGTGACCAGCTCTCTTAAACTCGCTTAAGAAAACCCTGCAGGGCTTAGTAAATCTCTTGCTGCCAGGCCTTCCCCTGGGAGAATCTCCTACTCTCAGAATGAGGTGGCAGAGAAACGAGGCAAAGGGACCCCCGCCATCCTGCTGTTCCACCCTCTCTCAGCCGTTAGGGCCCACGTGAGCATGCCCCTGATGCCCAAAGCTGCCCCCACCTCACCCTCCAGCTCCATCAGGCTCAGACCACCCCCCTTCACTCAGTAAGGCTCACGGCAGCTTGCTCCCTGCTGGCACCTGGGATATGCCGCCAACCAGCCATAGTCCTTGCCTCAGGGGCCCTGTCAGACTCGCTGAGAAGGGGCTCTGAGTCCATATTGGAAGGGCAAGGGTAGAAGTACCAGCGAGTCCCATGGGCCTGGCCGAAGGGGCTTCTATGTGCTCGAGGAAGGGGGCTGGTCAGGGAAGTCGTCATGGAGACAGTGACGCAGAGACCCCAGGGAGGGAAGGACAGTCCTGGTGCAAAGGAGCGGCGGCCAGAGAAAGCCGGGTGCCAGGAAGGGGAGTGTTTTGGCCGAAACCGGTTTGGCTCAGTGGATAGAGCGTCAGTCTGCGGACTGAAAGGTCCCAGGTTCGATTCCAGTCAAGGGCATGTACCTTGGTTGCGGGCACATTCCCAGTGGGGAGTGTGGAGGAGGCAGCTGGTCGATGTTTCTCTCTCATCGATGTTTCTAGCTCTCTATTCCTCTCCCTTCCTCTCTATAAAAAAAAAATCAATAAAATATATTTTAAAAAAAGAAAAGAAGAAGAAGGAAAGTGTTTTGAAGATATGGACTGTGGACGGGCAACTGCGTGGACGGCAGGGCGAGGACTTTTCTGGGCCCCCGTGGAGCGGGAGGGAAGCGGCGTTCATGCCCAGCGGGCACGGAGACAGGTTCAGGCTCAGTGCAAGGACTGACTGTCTCAGCAGCGCTGCAAAAAGGGAACTCCCTTCCCTGGAGCGGCGCGGGCAGGCCCTGCCAGCCTCTTGGCAGGGATGTGGTGGAGAATCACTCGGTGTGGGGTGGGGCAGGCCGGCTTACATCAACCATGTGCCAACTTCTTCTTCTCCAGACAAATCCCTTTCTTCAAACAGACCTTCCAGTGGGCAGCCGCTGGGGGCTGGTGTGACGGGACGCAGCCGGGAGGGGGCTCCAGGCCCCTCCCTGCCGGTTTGAACCCAGGAGGACACCCAGAAATCTTCCACCTGTGCATTCAGTCCGACCCTCCTTTGTCCACCCTGTTCCCTGAGAAGTGCTGGAAACACCCTCTGCCCCGCAGCAGGAGCCCTGAGGTCTGTACCCATGGCAGAGGCCGCTGAGCCCAGAGCAGGGTTGGCCTGGCAGAGGGGAGAGCTGCCATCTGCCATCCGACCAGCGGCTCCTTCCTTCACGCTCAGCCTGGGGACGCGCTGGGAGATGAGCCCGGGGAGAAGGTGGTGGCGGGCCCTCTCCTCCCTGCACCGCCTCGGCCAGCTCCACCATGCAGGGATTGGGCTGGTCCCTCCCCACGCTGCACCTCGCTTTCTCCACGGTAACCCTGGGGATGGATGCCTCAGGGCAGGGCGGGGCAGACACCGTGGTCTGGGCTGTGGTCTCTGGAAGGCGCCCCCAGCCTGGAGATGAACTGGGAAGGGACTCAGACTGGTGCTTTCAGGCCACCGGGCAGGGAGGGTGGCAGAGGAGGCTCTGAAGTGAGCGGGTGGGTCTGGAGGCTGCGGAGGGCAGAATCGGGGAGCCAGGCCCAACTGCAGGTTTTGCAGAGAAGAACCCTGCTGACCTGGGGCTGCAGGAACCTGCCCACCTTGGGGAGGGGGGGGTGTCAGTTTGCTCTCGGGCTTGGAATCAGAATCTTCAGGCCCATCAGGTTCGCTGGACCCAGAGGCCAACCTCCTCAGGAGGCTGCTGGGCATGGGCTGGGCTCCCCGGCTTTCACCCACATGCACACCTGCCCCAGTGTCCACGGGGAAGAGGCGACACTCCCCCCCCCCCCATTCAAGAGACACCAACTGCTCCCGTGGACTCAGAACTTCATTTGTGGACAGACACGCCCAGCCTGACCCTGATTCCAATGCCCAGCCTCCATGGCCTCCTCAGACCAGCCTGTCCCGGGCCTGTCTGAGCTTCTGGAGGCCCCAGGTCCCAGCAGAAGAGAGACGGCAGTGTGGGCAGCATGGTGAAGGGGCTGTGGCTGGCTGGGTGGTGTGGTGGTCAGGGCCAGTTTGACAGGGTGCACAGGGAAGTCCAGAGCTGGGCTGGGGTAACTGGGCCCTGACAGCAGGGCCTGAGGTCAGAAGCAAGAAAATGGTCAGGGAGGCGAGCGCCAGGGACTCAGAACAGGACCGTGTTCTTGAGGCGTATCCTTTCATTATTGGGAGCAAAGGGGCTGAATGAAGGGGCTTCACCCCGGGGAGGGGTGTGGGGCCTGAGCCAGAGCCCGGGGAAGGGCAGGCTGTGGAGGGGGTGGAAGGAGCACACGGAGCACTGGCTTGCAGGAACTTTTTATTCATCTCAACCCCCGGCCTTGCAGCTCAGGCCCCGCCTCAGCTGTGAGCACACAGCCTGGGGCCCCGGTTGGGAGGGAGGGACAGGGTGGCCTGCCTCCAGGTTAGTGGCTGTGGCCGTGGCCACCGTGGCTATGGCCGTGGCCATCGTGGCTGTGGCCGTGGCCGCCACCGCCGCCACTCTGGTTGCCACCCTGGGTTTTGCAGGGGTTGCGGCCAGACTCCCCGAAGCCTGGCCCGTGGGCATGGCCGTGCCCTTTGGGGGTGTTCTTGTGCATCTCCTCGTGGGAGGCCTCCGTCAGCGTGCCCACCAGGGTGATGAACTCCTCAAAGCTCAGGTCCTTGTCTCCGTTTGTGTCCAGGTCCTCCAGCATGTCCTTGATGAGCTTTTCATTCCTCTTCTCCTTCTGCAGGTTGGGAGACAGGGTGGTCAGGGCTCGGGGTGGGAATGGCGGGGGGGGAGGAGGGGGCAGCGGCAGGGAGCACAGCCAAAGACCCGATGGCCAAGACACTGGGACACCTGGCTTCTGGGCCTCAACCCCAAATTAAAAATGCCAGCCAAGACTGGTTTGGCTCAATGGATAGAGCATCGGCTTGGGGACTGAAAGGTCCCGGGTTCAATTCCAGTCAAGGGCAAGTACCTTGGTTGCGGGCATATCCCTAGTAGGGGGTGTGCAAGAGGCAGCTGATCGATGACTCTCTCTCATCGATGTTTCTAACTCTCTATCTCTCTCCCTTCCTCTCTGTACAAAATCAATAAAATATATTTTTTAAAAAATGCCATTCACTTTCCAGTTATCCCGCTCACCGCCTAGGGCTGACTCAACCCGTCTCGTCCCCTCCCCTGCATGCCTGGCCCCTCCGCCCGGCCCTCCCTGCCTTGCCTCTCCTTCCCTCTCCCGGTTACAAATGAGTGACACTCATTTCAACCTGTGTAGCAGGAAGCACCTGAGGAAAACAAGATGATCAGGCCCTTGTGGAGGTTCAGGGAGCGGTGTGGGTGCTCCGTGGACCCAAGGGGGAGGTGATGTGGGCAGAGGAGGGCCAGGGAAGAGGTGGGTCCCGGGCAGAGTGAGCTCCGGAGAGTCCCCGCTATGCCACTCGGCTGGCCAGGGCATGGCAGCTAAGGCCCCTCCGGAACCTGCACGGTCTATTCTTTCTGCACGTTTGCCACCGCCCTGGGGAAGTCTAGACCCTCCTAAGGGGCCCATTGGCAAGATTCCAGCTTCCCCTCCTGGCCTGTCACTGCCCCCAGCACAGGGGGTGGGGATGGGGCAGGCACAGGCCTCACTCAGAGGAAGAAGTCAAGCCAGCACTACCTTTGGCCTGGGTCCAGCCTGACCCAGCGTCCTGCTTGCTGAGGTGCGCCCTATAGGGAGCTGTCAGCATCCCTAACATCTACTGTGGCAGCCCTCCACCCACCCGGTGGGGTGGCTCCAGGGTGGGCTGGCCACCTGCCCCAGGACATGGCTGCAGGAGTCGACCTGAGGCTGGTACCCAGGGCCGCCACCCTTCCTCGTCCAGGCCTCTGCTCCCCGAAGTCCCCAAACGTGTAAAGAAAACAGAACAGGCCTGCGGGAACCAAGCCTCCTTTCCCCGAGGACTCCTGATCCCCCTGAGATCAGTAAGTACATCACACGCCCCAGGTGCTGTGTGTGCACAGGCTGTGACAGGCGGGGCTTTGCACACACCCTGGGTGTGGGAGATCTGGATCCGAAGAGCGCCCTCAGGCCTCCATCTGAGTTCAGATGGCTTCCACCAAGGCTGCTCCTCCTCCTCCTCCTCCTCCTCCTCCTCCTCCTCCTCCTCCTCCTCTTCCTCCTCCTCCTCCTCCTCCTCCTTCTCCTCCTCCTCCTCCCTCTCTGCCTCCGCTACTGCCTCGGTCTCTCCGCTCACAAGTGCAGGTCTCAGCTCCAATGTCCCCTTTCTTGTCCACCTGACTAGTAGTCGCCTCTCCCTCGCCCAGCCCAACTCTCCCCAGCGTCCCTCTCACTTTCTCTGGGTCCACGGTGGCCCGGAGCCCGGCCCTACCTTGAGGAAGTTAGGCAGCTCCTTCTTCACCAGCTGGATGAACTCTCTCTGGTTCAGGCGGTCCGGGTGGCCCAGGCGCACCGAGTACTGGTGGAAGATGTCGATGATGGTGTTCACGCGCATTCCAGCAGAGACATTTTGTCCTCGTCTTCCTGTCCTCGGAGCTGAGGAAAAGCAAGGGGTCGGGTGTGCTTAGAAGAGAAAGGCTTCCTAAACACCTCCTGCTGGCTGCTTGCAGAAATGGGGGCCGGGGGGGGGGGGGGGGAAGGGGAGGAGAGGAGACACAGAGGGAAAGGAAGGAGGCATTGAAGTGGGAAAGGACCCTCACCCAGACATGGGAGAAATACCTTTGTAAAACTATCTGGAGAATGTAAAAAAGCAGAGCATTTGAGAGCAGGAGGCTCCAACAGAATGGGAAGGAAGCTTTAAAGTAAGCAGGTTAATCAGGGAGGGCTTCCTGGAGGAGGGCTGGAAAGGCAGATGGGTAGTAAGTGTAAAGAAAGACCCGGCAGGTAGGCAGGCTGCTGCCCGGGGAAGCTGGCAGCTCACTTACCTAAGCTGAAGAGTCACACAGAAGGGTTTGACAGCGTCCTGAAGGCCCAGCATTTATAGGCCCCTCCTGGCCAGGACACTCAGCCCTCTAGTGGGAAGATTGCTCCACAGGTGAGCGGTGTGGTAACCCCAAGCCAGGCTGCCAGGAAGGGGGACTAGGGTGGAACAGGAAATGTTCACACAGATCCTTCTGTATTTTTCATGAATTCCCCAGACCTGTGCCTGGAGCTGGTTGGGGAGGAAGTTGCTTGGTGAGTTCACTTCCCCTTTCACCCCACCGCTCCCCTCCCTGAGCAAGCTGCCTGTCCCTCTGGCACCCCTCCTTCCCTCTGACCCCCAACCCCCCTTGTGGAGGGTGCACCTTCCCACCTGCTAGCTGGGGGCTGATGGTGGGCTGAGGACCCATGGGTGGGGACGGACCCACTCTGCCCCCTCCACCCCCCGCCAGTGGGCAGCCCAACAAGGATGGCTGAGCTCTCCCCTCTTGGGGCTGTGATGTGTGCTCTTCCCAAGGGTGAGGGGTCTTAGATTCACAGGGGTCAGAAGGGTACGGGGTGAAGTTGGGTTCGGGGTCCACCTCTTGATAATGCAAATGAAGAAACCTGCACCCGGAGAGTGTCAGAGCAAGGCCACATAGCTGGCTGGTGACATAGCAGGAATGGGGCTCAGACATCCAGGTTCCGGGGCTACAGGGTAATTGGGTAATCGGATTACACCTCCCTCTTGCAGCCTAAGTGACAGCTCCTCCGGGGGCGTAGGCTGTCAGCCTTGTTCTTCTAAATCCGGCTCCCATTGTGAGAGCCACACCCTCAAGAGTTTTGATGTCGCCTCTTGGGCAAGCCTACCCCTCCAGCTGCAAAACTGCAAACCTCCCCCCCCAACCCCCACCCCGTAGCTCCCCATCTCCCAGGGAGGAATGGCCCTGCCTGGCCTGGTCACCTGCTGCTCCTGCCCCCTCCCTGGGGCCCATGAGTCCATGAGCACCCCCAGGCCCTTGTCTTTAGTGGTCTCACCCCAGGTGCTCTTCCCCCGTGATGGGGTGCAGTCCTGATAGGGGTACAAGGATAGGTTGAACATGATTATTTTCCCTTCCTCTTCTTGTCCTCTCTCCTTCCCACGCTTTAACTAACAGACCGTGTAATTGATTCACTTATGTTCTGGTGAAGATTCTGTTACCATGGTCAGTGGACCAGACAAAAGCAGACTTTTAACCCAGCCCTGAATTGACACACCTGGCCCCCAGACATGTGGAGCAGATCAGTTAGGTCTCAGAAACACCTGGGTAGCCTGGCTGGCATGGTCCAGTGGTTGAGTGTTGACCTAAGAACCAGGAGGTCACCATTGCGATTCCGCTCAGGGGCGCATGCCTGGGTTGTGGGCTCGATCCCCAGGGTGGGGTGTGCAGGAGGCAGTTGATCGATGATTCTCTCTCATCATGGATGTTTCTACCTCTCCCCTCTCCCTTCCTCTCTGAAATCAATAAAAATATATTTTAAAACACGAAAAAAAAGAAACACAGGGTGACCCACATCCGATCACCACTTGCCTGTTACAGAACACTGACCATGCTGACCTGGGACCATCATGAAGACATTCAGCTAGACGTGAGACCCCAAGGGGACTCAGATTCCAAGACTGCAAATCACCAGAACTCCCTGGACTCCCTTCTGTCCACGTTCCCTTCTCTTCCCCCCCCCCCCCAATCCCCCTATATAAGCTTTCTCCTAACAGGCTTACGGGAAAGGTGGGTGTTAGGATTTTTACCAGCCACCTTCCCTGATATCTGGCACCTGAAATTATTAAATGTGCACCTGCACTCCAGCCCCTGTCTCTACTCTTTGGCTGGGTGGTGACAGGTAGCTAGGACACTGGACATGGTTGACGTCCGTTTTCAGTCCTGCCCACCCTGCAGGGCTCTGTCCAATAGTCCAGGAAGCAGTTCTGCTCCTCCCGATGAGAAACAGAGTCTCTTTGCTGGGTCCATCGCTCCCACCCCAGTCCTGGCTCTCCGCACTCCCTTTCCCGGAGTGAAGGTATTTGTGAATTCTACCCTTGTCCAATCACTGCCTGTAGATCCTCAGGTGGATCCGCATTCATGTCCATGTCCTCCAGGGCTCGGTGCAGGGAGACCTCACCTTTGCTGAAGGATCCTGCCCTTCCTGGCACCCCCTACCCCTCGCCCCAGGAAGTGTGTCTGGAGAACCCACTGGAAGGACCTTCCAGCCTCTCCCCTTTCACCGGGGAAGGTAGGGTCCCCTGGCCCCCCTCCAGGAGTCGTTTTGTGGGTTCTCCTGAAGCCTGCCCCCACCATCAGGCCCCTTCTGGCCACACTGCCCTCTGAAAGCCGGAGGCCGTCCGTGTGCGGCCCCCCCTCGGCCCTGAGCATGTTCTGTCTTGCACTGGGCACAAGGAATAGTTGTTTAGAGCTCAGACCGGCTATGTGTCGTAAGGCAATTTGCTTGGCCTTTCTGTGCTTCCTTTTCCTTATCAGTAAAGAAAAGGCACTTACAGGACCTCCCTTGAGAATTGAAACAGGACAAGTAAAGCTGGGAGAACTCGGGTCCTCAGAGGTATTTTATTATTATTATTATCATCGCTTCATTCATTCATACAAGCATCTGTTGAGCACCAGATACTAATGCCAGATGCTGGGGGACTTGGTGAGTGAGTTATAATAATCTTACACCCCAAATTCCTAATCACATTTAACTCCCCAGGGCTAAGGTTGGGGCATGGCACGGAGCTTGTATTTAATCAGTGTTTGCTGAGTGCATGCTTGAATGAACGTGTTAATCATCTGTGAAGGAGTGAACTGTGCCAGTCTGGCCCAGGAGTGCGTCCATGGGCATTTCAGGGCTTTTCTCTCATGGGGCTGGCCCTCTGTCCTTTGAGCTGATGGAGGAAGCCCAGCCAGGAACCTGCCCTCCTCAGGCTGTCAGGAAATCTTGCTTCTGGCAATCCCAGCAGGTACCTGGGTGTCTCTCCTCTGTGCTCCCATAGCGCCCTCTGCTGTCTTATTGAAGCACGTTTCCCTCTCCACCTAGGCTCTCCCACAGCATGCAGGGACAAGGCACCCAGAGGAAGCTGGTGAGGCTGGCTGGGCCTGAGAACAACAACAGCACCACCTGTAGGGTGGCTGCGGCAACTGACACTAGGACGGGGTGGAGACTGTGGTGAGTGGGAACCTTCCTAAAGAAGGACAGCTAGCCGAAACCGGTTTGGCTCAAAGGATAGAGCTAAGGTTCCCAGGTTCCATTCCGGTCAAGTGGGTGTACAGGAGACAGCTGATTGATATTTCTCTCTCATTGATGTTTCTAACTCCTAACTATTCCTCTCCCTTCCTCTCTGTAAAAAAAAAAAAAAAAGATATATATATATATATCTTCCCACACACGCACGCGCACACACACACACACACAAATCAGTGTACAAATGAGCAGGCAAAGCTGCTGTAACCCCACTCCAACCATTGTACCCCTTCCCCTCCCCACACCCTTCCATTTCCTTGTGCCCCTGCTCCTCCCTGCACCCCTTTTCCCACCTGTGAGTGCCCCTTCCTCTCCCCACACCCCTTCTCTCTCCCCACATCCCTTCCCCTCCCCACATTCTTCCCTTTCCCTGTACCCCTTCCCCCACCTGTGTGTGCCCCTTCTCCCTCCCCAGCCCTGCAGTGGTCCTTCAGGAAGTTTTGCCCCCCTGAGTTGTCCATGTTATAGCAGGTGTTACAAGGGGGTGTGATGCCAGGCACACCACGGGCCTTCCCCGGACTCTGCCTCTAGCCCCATGGGCAAGACGCGGGCTGAAAGCTCAGAGTGGACTGAGGGGCTGGGAGCTGGGTGCTAGTCCTAATTCTGCCTGACTTGCCGGTGAGCTCCAGAAGCTATTTCCATGTCGGGGCCTGTTTTCTTAGCCACTCAGTGTGCAGGTGGGTCAGCGGGCCTTTGGTGCTGTCTAGTGCTGACCTGACGACAGGTTCTCATGGGACCTGGGTGGGCCCCATGAATGCTGCAGACCTGGGGGCTCAACTGCTGGGGCTGGTGAAGGCCGGCCCCTTCCCCACAGGGCATAGAGCCTGGGGCCCTTCCAGCTGCACTCTACCTGCTGACTTTGCCTGCAGCCCCCGCCTTCCTCCTTGCTGCCCCATATCTCATGGGACCTAGACTTTGTCCTCATGATGTCCACGAGGTTCCAGATTCTTCCAGTAGTTTCTGGCGAGCATCCCAGTGTCCGCTGTTGGCTCCCTCTGCCTCTCGGGAATCCCTTTGACGTATACAGCCCCGTAGAGACAACGAAGGGCTCTCCCACACTTTGCCATGTTGGCATTTTAATTGCCGGCTTTTTGGGTCGGTCTCAGATTATTGTCTCCTTGAGAGTGGGGTTCTAGTGCTTACTCAGCCCTGAATGGTACGCGTTGCCTCTGAGAGACATCTGATAAACGTTTGCAGATTAACATGTGACTGCCTAGGTTTTGATGCTTAATGATTGTTACTTCCTGTAATTAGGAAGTAGTGCAGCATGGGAGAATTCAGAGGAGGAGGAGAAGGAGGAGGAAGGAAGTGGGAGGTGTGATGGAGACAGGAAGATGGAGGAGATTGCTGCGGGATTCCCTAAAGTGCGTGCTGCCCCCTTGTGGCCTTCCTGCATCCCGACAGCTTGTGGCAATCCTTGGCCTGGGTTCTCAATCTTTCTGCTCTCAAGACTTTTTTTTTTGCACTTAAATATCTCAAAAAACTTTTGTCTGTGTAGCTTACATTTATTAATATTTATAAATTTAACATGTTAAAATATTTATTAATTTACCTAAAATAGTATTAGTAAACCCAATTTATAGTAACACATTTTTAATTTTTAAAATACAAAATAATTATATTTTCTTCAAAAAAAAAAAAAAGCTAGTGAGAAGAGAGACATAAATACAATTTTTTTTTGCACACCTCTTCAATATAGGGCTCAAAATAAGATCGTTGGATTCTCATATCCATTTCTGCCTTCAATGTGCTGTATATGTTGTTTAGGTTAGAAATAGGGAGAAAATCCAGCTTCACATAGATAAGTAGAAATATATTAATAGTCTTTAAATATCACCATGGGTATTATTTTTTAAATAATTCACCCAAACTCAACAAGCGGAGTTTCTTAAGGTTAGCTGCAATGTGGCATCTGAAACTATATCACTGAACCCTTGTACTCTGTCAAATGAGAATCCATTGGTCTGTCATGAAATGTGAACAGGTCCTTTATCAAGGCATGGCTTTGTAACTTCAAGGATGGTGACTTGGGAAGTAATGATTCACTGAGTTAGTCTAATTTCCAAATGCTGGCCCATTTCATGATCTACACACAGGCAGGAAGTCCCCAGGTGTGGGACAGGACTCCCAGGGCCCATGGGCATCCCCAGGTGGCCGGCTTCCTGAGGGCTGGGGTGAGGAAGGAGCGCAGGGCGCTTGGGCAATCTTGCCCTTTCCCAGGGAGGAGGCACCGGGCTTATTCACAGGGCGGGTCCCTTCTCTCAACCCGAGTCTGGCTTCCCCAGTCCTTCTCAGTGCCGTGGAGGGAGCAGGCTCGGAGCCTCAGAACTCTGCCCTTCTCTCCACCTTCTATAGGGACCCCGCTTTCCTCCTCTCCGGGAGGCCAGAGCCCCAGGCTCTCTTCCCAGGAGGAGAGCCCTCTAGTGGAGGGAGAGTGAAGGGCAGAAGAGGCAGCTGCTGGAGGAGGGCAGGGCAGAGGCCAAGCCTGAAAGAGAGAAGCTGCCAGCCAATGAGGGGTGAGCCGCCTGCACCCTGACCTGCTTGGGACCCCGGGTATTTCTATGTTTGGGTGTAAATGCTTTTTCTTGGAAAGGCCTGGACTCTTTATCAGGTGAAAATGTTAACAGAGTAAAGAGAGTTGCCTTGATCTCCCTCTCTCTTGAATTCTTTCTCCTAAAAAGAAAATTTTCTCTAGTGGCTGTGGGTCTTGGGCTTACAGCTTCCCCATTTCTTCTCTTCCTCTCTAGCCCTGAATCTTCATGCATTATGTCTCACTTGCCTCCTTTTCTGAGGCCCGGTTTCCTGATGGTAAGAGCAGGCAGGTATTGTAGGGCGCTCTGAGGAAATTTAATGGAATGTCTGTGGAATCTTTACAAAACACCTGGAACATAGGATATGATCAGTAAGTTGTAATTGTTACTGTAATTAGCATCTGTCAGAAATTTTGGGGGGTGAAGTACCCCAAACCTCTGGCTCTTAAATAGAGCTAGAGATGAAGCCAGCCCTACTCCTACTTATAGCTTACTTCGGAGCCTCGTTGTGTTCACTTATCAAAGTGGGGTTAACAAGACCTTATGGGAACTTTTAAGGATCTATATATATAAAAGTCTAAGCGACCAGATGACTGAATGATCAGTCACTATGATGTGCACTGACCACCAGGGGGCAGATGCTCAATGCAGGAGCTGTCCCCCTGGTAGTCAGTGCGCTCCCACAGGGGGAGAACTGCTCAGCTAACCGATGGGCGCCAGATGCTGGGCTCATGGCTGACGAGCACAGCTGTGGCAGCACCAGCCTCTCCCACCTCCACTGCAGCGCTACCGAGTGGTGGCAGGCACATGGGAGCGGGATGAGCAGGAGCGTGGCACCCAGCCCAGGCTTGGGGTCCTCCCAGGCCACCTGCCGCTTGGTTCACTACTGCATCCCTTGAAGGGTCCCAGATGGAGAGAGGGTGCCGGCCAAGCTGAGGGACCCAACTGGTGTACAAATCCATGCACTGGGCCTCTAGTTAATTATAAAATCACAGAACTAGATGTTAAAAACATCTACACTGCCTCCAAAGGGTTTTAGAAGCTGTTATTGTCTATACTGAAAGGCCTATGATGAGGCACTGTGCTACCTTGAGGCATCAGAAGCTCCCAGGGTCGCAGGTGGTGGTTGAGGGTGGTGGCTAGACAGAGGTATTGGTGCCCTCACCTTTCCTGAGCCCCAGCCGAAGGTCAGGCCCTGTGTTGGGGACCATGAGCAGCCTGGCCAGGTGCTTCTGCCTGGGAGGCAGACAGGGAACCATGCAATGGCGTACCCCATTTGAAGAGTGAGCACAGTTGGATTCACTGTCAGTGTCTCTCCCAGGACCGTGGTCCAGAATCTTCTCATTGATGTACCGGGACCACGTGGGGATGCGGCTGTGGCTGCTCGCATTCTCAGCTCTGAGTCTCCAGGCCTGGGGTAAGTATTTTTCGTTGGGTCAGAAGTGCTTTGGGCATCAGCCCCAGCTGGTTTCACTTGAAAATTGTCCTCTCCAGGCTTATCACTCTTCCCCACCTGACCCGTGTTGCCCTCGCGAGCTCAGCTCTGATCCCTCCTCCCTGCTGAGATGGGCTCTAGTTCTCCGTCTCCCCAGCCTGCCAGGCACACCTCATCTTCAGTGTCATGGTCACAGATGTGACTTTACAAAAGAGCAGGATCTCAGCCTTGGAGGATACCCTTACTGGCCTTGTCTTATAGACAGAGAAGGCCACACTATGGCGGTGACATGGGCATCTGTCCATGGCCGACTGACAACACTGGGGAGGGACAGCTTGGGTCAGAACCCAAGTCCATGTCTTAAAACCTGTATCATCTCAGACAAGTAATTTAATTTCTCCGAGCTTTAGTTGCTCATCTTTGTACAAGGAATAGTTAATTTGCTTTGCTTTTGCTTATCTTATAAAGTTGTTTTAAGCCACAGGCTGATAGTGCCCTTGAAAATGCTTTGTAACCTTCAGAGCTGGCCTGTGGGAGGTGATGCTGGTTCTAGTGGTTATGGTTCCCATGATTTCAGAGGCTGGCCAGGCAGAAGGGGATGAGGTACGCTGGTAATGACTAACCTTCAATTAATCCTGTCTAACACATCTAGTTTGTGAGGGCAGTCACAGCGGTTGGAAATTTTCTGTGTTTCAAGAACCTTGCCTGGACCAATAGGTTGTGTGTGTGTGTGTGTGTGTGTGTGTGTGTTCACTCAAAATAATGATGACTATTTTGGTGTGTGAGATTCTAATGTATTAATAGGTAAGCAGTGAACCAGCAAAGGCTGAGCTGCTCAGATAAGGGGATGGAGAGGCTGCAGAGCCCCTGGAATGGGGGAGGGTTAGGGGAGAATGAGAGGCCGAGGTGGGGTGAGGCCTGAAACATGTCTGCCTTGTTTCCTGGAGGAAGTCAGGGGACTTGGGGAGACTGAGAGGCTGTGGAAGGTTGTGGGGGCAGAGCCCATGCCACTGGGGTGGCCCCGGTGTTCTCTGAGAACCAGCACCAAGCACGATGTTCCTTTGTAGGGTATTCCCCTCACTTCTCCTGGAATGAAACCCAAGCCGGAGACATGTCAGAGCGGCTTGTGGACCTGTTTGTGGGCATCTCACAGCTCATTCGCAAGGGTCGCAATGGTGAGCTGACTTGGGGTTGACTGGGGCTTCTTGGGTGCCTGGAATGTTTCTTGGGAGTCACTCCGGTGGGGTGGAGTCCCAAGAGCGGCATTTTCTAAGGAGTGCCGTGGATGGATTGAACCCTGGGGCACAGGGTAGGTCCGGGCAGGAGAGAAGACCCGGGGAAGAGACAAGGCCCTGTGCCCAGCTCTCAGCAGTAGGGTGGAGACCCCCTGCCCTTCAGAGAGCTCCTGGAACCCCCATGATGGACACAGACAGGGAGCCTCAGGAGCCTCTCACAGCCCTGCCCACAGTGACGTTTCATTTGAAAGAGAGAAAGCTACATGCCTGATGCTCATGGGGCTTCCTGGAGCTCTGGACCGGAGCTCCCTCGTTTGAGGACAGTGGCAGACTTTCCTGCAAGTCACCTTGTGGGGAGGGACAGACTGAAGACACAATCAGAGACACAGGCAGCACCAGTGAGGGCCGCACATCCTAGGCATCCACATGAGATCTTCAAGAGAAGGCAGCTCAGGGCCGGGTTGGGTGCGAGTGGTGCTGGGGCTGCTTCCCGCAGGCGGAGGGTGAAGCTGGCCGGAGAGGAGGTAAGGTTGGGAAGCCTCTAGGAAAGCACAAGAAGCCAGTGTTGGGGGAACAAGGCCACCTGACTGCCTTGAGAGTCCGATGGGGAATTTTTTTAAGCCTCAACAGTCTGTGGAGATGCGAAGGGGAGGTTGTGGCTGGCAAAGGCCTACTCCAGGGCCTGTCCCACCATCCAAGGGCAGGAGAGGCCCTGAGTTGGGAGGATGAGGGTGGTGTGGGCAGCGGGCCAGGGGAACTGGGTAAAAGCTGCAGCATGCCATCCTTCCGTTCCCTCTGCAGAGGTCCCTACCATTGTTTCCCGCAAGGAGTGGGGAGCGAGATCTCAGACTTGCTGGGCCCCGCTGACCCCACCGGTGGCCTACGTCATCACGCAGCAGCTCCCGGGCATGGAGTGCCAGCAGCAAGATGTGTGCAGCGAGAAGCTACGGGCCCTTCAGTCCCATTCCGTCTACACCAAAGGCTGGTGCGACATGGCCTACAAGTAAGAGCCGCACTCAAGTCACCCTGGTAAAAGAGACTCCGAGCGGCTCTTCTCTCTTCTCCCATTATCCCTTTCTTGTTGCTTTAAATAAAATAAGTACAGCTGAAAACAGTTTGGCTCAGCGGATAGGATAGAGTGTTTGGCCTGCGGACTGAAAGGTCCCAGGTTCGATTCCGGTCAAGGGCATGCATCTTGGTTGCGGGCACATCCCCAGTGAGAGGTGTGCAAAAGGCAGCTGATCGGTGTTTCTCTCTCATAGATGTTTCTAACTATCTCTCTCCCTTCCCCTTGATAAAAATAAATAAATAAATAAATAAATAAATAAATAAATAAATAAATAAATAAAATCTATTTTAAAAATAGAGGAAGAGAGAGGGATAGAGAGCTAGAAACATCGATGAGAGAGAAACATCCATCAGCTGCCTCCTGCACACCCCCTACTGGAGATGTGCCCGCAACCAAGGCACATGCCCTTGACCGGAATCAGACCTGGTACCTTTCTATCTGCAGGCTGATGCTCTATCCACTGAGCCAAACTGGTTTCAGCAATAAAATCTATTTTTTTTTTAATAAATAAAATAAAATAAGTTCAAAATGTGAAAACACAGCTGCCCCCACTTCTGAGGATGGGTGAGAGGGTTCTTGTTACGGGGGGTATTTGCCATTCAATCTGCGTGTCCTTGCCCGGCAGCTTCCTGATCGGGGAGGATGGCAGGGTGTATGAAGGCCTCGGCTGGAACATTCAAGGCCTGCACACCCAGGGCTACAACAACGTCTCTCTGGGCCTCGCCTTCTTTGGCGCTAAGGAAGGTAACAATCACCCCCTGGGCCCTCTGCTGGAGGGTCTTCTACTCTCTTCCTTCACTCCATTGTCTCCACACTCCTCTCTTTCCTTTCTCTTTTTTAAAAAAAAAATATTATCGAATTTATTTGAGCCAAACTGACCACCTCCTCTGGGGAGCATGATCTCACACATTCCCCACACGCCTGTCTTTCCAGCCTCCATCACCCTCTCTCAGAGTCCTTTCCTCACTGGGACTCTATGGCCTGGCGTCCTCTGTGTCCTCTCCCTCTTCTCTGGGAGGTTGCTGTCGCCACTGGTGAGCTCACAGCACTGCCGTCACTTTGGTGTCGGAGGCTGTGGGACACAGCCTGCACAGTCAGGAAAGTGAGGTTCCTCTCTTCCTCTAGTGGCTCCCTTTGGGCGGACCCAGCCCAGAGGCAGGCAAGCAAGGGAGCCTGAGAAATGTCCTTTGTAGGTGTGTGGTCCCCTGCAAACCGGAGGGGAGCACAAGGCCCGGTGGGGTGGAGAGCTAGTAGGTAACGTCACAGTATGGGCCACAGAGGTGTTTCTGTGAGAATCATGTGAGTGAGCGGGTGAAAAGAGCAGGTGCCACACGCATGACTGTGGCATGTCACACTGTGCTCCATGCCAGGTGTGCCTGACCTGGTCACATGGGCCTCTCTCTGTGTGTAGATTGTATTGCCTCCCAACTCTTCCACCTGGAGATGGGGTGGATATAAGTCTTAGTTTGGCCCTTGAAAGAGGTCACAAACCTGGCCTCCAACAGCTGCCCAAGTCGTTCTTTGCCTCTTAGTACCGCTGTCCTAGCTCCTGGACCAGTTTCCTCTCTTCCTGTCTATCAGTTATCCAGGCTCAGGTGGTAACCTTACCTTCCCTCCCTCTCTCCTGAGCCAGATTGGAGTTTCTTGCTGATAGTTTGGTGATCCATGTCATCCTCTCTCAGGCAGCAGTCCCAGCCCAGCTGCCTTATCGGCAGCACAGGACCTGATCTTCTATGCCATCCGGAAGGGACACCTGTCACCCTGGTATATTCAGCCACTTCTCTTGAATGAAGAGATGTGCCTGGCCTATCAGCAGCCAGCAACGCCCAGGAAAGGTGAGGTCCTCCCTCCCCCCTCCTCCCCCTCCCAATGACACTGGGACACAAGGGAAGGTTGTTTGTTTTTTTCCTGTTGGTGTTCATTGATTTCTTGGGACCCAGAACACCTCATGCCAAGACCCAGAAAGTTCTGAGAGGGTACCTTCCTGAAGACCTCCTCTCCTTCCCACTGGAATGACATAGCCATGGAGCCATTCTTGACATGTGTACACACATGTTCACTTCATCAACAGGTATTTCCTGAATACCAGCCACTCTTCTAGGTATGGAGGATACAACCATAAACAAAACAGACAGCTTCACATTTCAGTGAACAAAGACCCAAAATGAAGAAATCGACAAGTAAAATGCATATGATATCAGATGGCAGGAAGGCTATGGAGAAAAACAAAGCATGGTCATGGGGCAGTAAATATATATATTTGTATATACTACATGAGTACACACACCTTTCTAAATGTGAAACTCAGCAACCTGCAACATGACCACAGGGTTGAAAAAAACCTGACTTCGTAGATTATGCTGACATAAGAGTGAATATTTCAAGAAAGTATATAATAAAAATCACAACCTATTTGAATGAGCAAGCAGCAGCCTAAATCCAGGACAATTAATAAGCACTTTCAATAGCTTAGTATACTCTCTGCTAGAGTGGATCTTTCCTCAGACTCAGTATTAAAGGCCTGGTGCATGAATTCATGCACCAGTGGGCCAGGCTAAGGGACCCCACAGATCCAGTGGTGTGATTGTCCACGTGTGGGCACAGGAGCATTCCCAGGGCCTTGGTTTTTGTTGTTATTGTTGTTGTTGTTGTTGATTCAAATTTAATTTAAATTTATTTTTTCCATCACCTCTTATCCCTTCTATGCCCTCTACCACCTCCACCCATGCATGGTCTCTGTTTTTCACCTCACCACAGCTTGCCCCGGCATCATCCCACGGTCAGCTTGGGAAGCCAGAGAGACATACTGCCCTCGAATGAGCCTCCCAGCCAAATATGTCATCATCATCCACACGGCTGGGGCGACCTGCAACACATCTGAGGACTGTATGTCTCGCGTCCGAGACATCCAGTCCTACCACATAGACAATCTGGACTTCTGCGACATTGGCTATCAGTAAGTGGGACCGGTGGCAATGTGAACCTTTCTCCTCATGGCTGCAGGAAGGAAGGCTCAGGGAGGAACTGATATGACTGAGCCCTTCCTTTGTACCAGGTGCTTTACATAAAGCAGCGTCTTTTATTTGTGCAAGACTCTGGACTATCAGTCAGACATAGCCACGGGCTAGCTCTCTCTCTTGGGAATAGTCTCCTCTAGGGAAGAATGAAAAGACATTGGGAGCAATAGTGATAAAGCAAAACTGCGAGACCCTCAGGGAAGACCACTGGCGGGTGGTGCCTTTTTTTATGTAACCCCTTCCACTACTGAGGGACACAGGCTCTGCTCAGCCTCTCCCTCCATCTGGCTCAACCCCAACTTGCTCCCTCTGATGTTAGAACCCTGCCATGTCTCTGGTACTGTTACTCCATGTTATACACACAGGAGTTTTTAACTTCTCTGGCCTCTTTAGCCTCATCTCTACAATTGGGAAAACAATCTCTCTATATAAAAGCCAAGCAACCAGAATGACCGGAATGACTGGTCGCTATGATGTGCACTGCAGCCAGCCAACCTAATGTGGCCCCTCTCCCCTGGCCAGCCCAGCCCCCAAATGGCCCCCTCCTTCTCCAATCAGAGCAGTCTGGCCAGACCCCACCTGTGCACACATTCATGCACCAGGCCTCTAGAACCATATCTACTTGAAAAGAGAGAGCAAAATCAGAATGTTCTCTTTTGGTTCCTTTAATGCATGGTCTATCATGAAAAACACAGAGCTAATGGAATAGCAGAAACTAAATAGAAGATGTCTTGGAATTTCATAGAAGGGATGGAAGGTGAGAGGATGACACATTACAACCAGTCATCTATGATTCAATCACAACAGCTTTTGCAAAGTTACAAGGAAGAGAACATGTCAAGAAGAGAGTCAGTGTAACTTGAAACAAAAACATGTTCTCATTGCACTGGTGTTGAGGCGGTCACTGGTCACCTTGGGGAGGTCAGATTCCGTGGCATTGTGGAGTGAAAGGCCATCACAGTGGGGGACTGAAATGGCTGTTATTATTGCTTGTCACAGTCTGACCTCACTGCTTGGGTTTAGAGATTGCGATTACCTTTTTGTTTCTCTGTTTTGTCTCTGTGCACATTGGCACACAAGAAATGTGCAGTCAACATGTGATAAATGAATGGGAGAATGAATTAATGAATGATTCAAGGAGTAAATGAAGACAATTCTTCTTCCCAGCGTGACTTTCTCCATTTTTCTTTGCCCACTCCTAGCTTCCTGGTGGGCCAGGATGGCGGTGTGTATGAAGGCGTTGGCTGGAATATCCAAGGCTCTCATACCTACGGATACAACGATATTGCCCTAGGAATTGCCTTCATGGGCAACTTTGTAGGTAAGGTGTGAGCATGGGGCAGAGGGGTTTGGGTGATGGAGCCACCCGTGGAATGTCTGGGGAGCATGGGGGAAAAGGCAACCTTGTGGTGTCTGACAATGTGGGCTCACTTAATACAGGATCAGGTCACCCAGGATTCCCTCCCGGGCAGAAAGTTTCCCCCAGATCCACCCATCCCCATTCCCAGCTCCATCTGTCTTTATAGCCATGGCTAGGAACATAATCTTTTGAAAACTTTGGTACTTACATGGCTCAGTCAGCAAATGCATCCTCTTCCTTGGTAACCATGGCAACAATGTGGAGGAGCATCACTGCTTGCTATGTATGGCAGAGTGTAGACAGTCAGGGGTGCCCTGCATGCCTCGCGGTGCCTGTGGAAAGGTGATGTGCTGTGCTGCAGTTCTCACCCAGCACAGCTGAGAGCCTTCCAGAAAAAGCTCTGCAAAGAGGAATCCAGCAACACAGTGACCCTGTTTTCTCTCTGGGCCTGGCTGCCACAGATGATGTGCATTTGTTGGCTATGATGTATGTGGGGGGAGAGAAGAGGGGGGAAACAGAGAGGCTGGAATGCAGATGCTTGCCCCTGTCCTACCTAAGCAAGTAGCCTTGAGGCTCTGACGATTGGCGGGGTATGTATTTTGCAGAAAAGCCACCCAATGCTGCAGCGCTGGAGGCGGCCCAGAGCCTGATCCAGTGCGCGGTGGACCAGGGGTACCTGGCTCCCAACTACCTGCTGGTGGGGCACAGCGATGTGAGCCAGATCCTGTCTCCGGGGAAGGCTCTGTACGACATCATCAGCAGCTGGCCTCACTTCAAACAGTGAGGGCCCGCAAGCTCGGGACGAGGAAGCCGCGAACACTCCTCCTCCATCAGCACTCAGCAAGGCCTCCTCAACCAATAGCGCTGCATGGTCTGTGATACTGAGCCCTCAGAGTGACCTACTTGTCATTGGTCTGAAAGACACAGCCAAAGGACACTCAGCACACCACCTCGCTGTGGCCTCTCCTGCCTCATTCGTGTCAAGAGATCCTGCCCAGGTCCCCGTAGTCATTGAAAGTGTGTTCATACTAACACCTGCCTCCCCACTCCCCACCCAGGAGGTTCTTATGAGGATGAAGTGAATTAAATGTGTTAGGGTCTTAGGATTTTCAGTTGGCCTATAAGAGTGGTTTCATTCAAGTCAGCGGAGGTATTGTTACTCTTGTTGCTATTGTTGCTACAGATCTCCTGTGGGTGGAAGGATTTCCTTTAGTCAACAGCTGTCTCTCACATTCTTCCTCTCAGGCTGCCCCTCTGCTCCTGTCTCCTCTCTGCCTGCCCTTCTGCTGCTCTGACTATCCCTGTCTTTGCCTCTCTCTTTTGATCTAGAATATGGCAGTGTGGAGTAACAGTGGGCCAAGGGGGACTGGGACTCCCACCAATCGGATTCACTGGGCCCCCCAACCAAGCCCTACCTGTCCCAGGCCTGCCAGGAATGCTGGGGAGTGAAATGGGGCGGGGGGCGGAAGCCAAGGGTGAGGCTGCTCTGGGGAAGGTACATATTTCCCAGAGGCTCAGAGTCACACAGCAGCGGGACAGGTGTGCTTCTGGCCCAGCAGGTTCTGCGGAGTAGGGCGGGCGGGGCCTCAGTAAGAGGAGCTGGCTCCCAAAGAGGGAGGGTGTTATTACCAGGGAGGGGTGGTGAGGGCGGGAGCTTCTGGGAGGTGTAGCAGGGACTCTGAGGGACATTCCACAGGGGACTGGAGCAAGAGGTACCTCCCCATGGTAGGGACCAGAGGAGAGGATTCCCCCTCAGCATGGCTGAGAGCACTTGGTAACCAAGACTGATGTTGCCTGATGGGAGAAAAAGTACAAGGTTCTTTCTTCTAAGAGTCCCAAATTAGCATTCTCCTATTCTTTGGTGCTTGTTCATTTCTCTCTCTCTCTCTCTCTCTCTCTCTCTCTCTCTCTCTCTCTCTCTCTCTCTCTCTCTCTCTCTCTCTCTCCCCCCAGGCTTTATTGTCTCTCTATCCCACTAGATTATAGGCGCCATGAGGGTGAGAAGCATGCTTTCACCATTCATGCCTGTGCCTGCTCCTGGTGCACCGTAGCTGCTAAGCAGACCTGTTAGACATGTGTGATCACAAGGTCTGGGAGCCGGTGCTATGATCTGATCGTCTACTGATTTGTTCTGGAGCAGGTGCCAAGTGCAGGTAGTTTGTCTGGCCTGTCCCTGCCAAGCTCCCACTGGCTCATCCCATGGGGGAGAGGAAGCGGCCCTGGGTCTGAAGGTGGAGGCAGGGAAGGAAACCCCCCTGGGATCAAGCCCAGGTTACAGCAGACCCCCAGCGCGGATATCCCAAGTGGATAATGGAGAGGGCTGATGCCTAATGACGCGCAGGGACCTATAATTTGTGCAGACTCTGTGCTGGTCCCATATTTGTGATTTCATTTCATCTGAGCTCTGCAGGGCAGGAGCTTCCGTTGCTACCTGGCCACGGAGGAAACCGGCCCTACCGGAGGAGGAGAGGTCACTCTGTAAGGCCCCACAGCTCGCGCGTGCATGCCAATGCCAGCAGCTTCTGTCCCCTTGTCACACGCCATCGGGCTGTCCTTCTGTGCTCACATTCCTTTCACAACCGGAAGTAAAAAAAATACCAAGGGGTCTCCTGACTCAGAGTTCCCTGAAGTGATTACTTCCCTTGATTCCATGACAGTCTTCAGGGAACAAGGCGATCCATGTAAAAACCCATGTAAGTGGCACAGTCCTGAACTCACGTTCTAATAATAACAACAGCAATGCAACCGGGATTGGTGTGCCTTTTGGTCACATGCTCAGCCCCGCTGGCACTGTGGGTCTTTCCATCACAATGACTATTAGCCCATCACGCATCACCAGGCCCATTTCAATCCCAGGATGGGACTCTGGTTTGTCTTGATAAGCATCCTATGAGAAGGGTTTCCTCATAGTTGAAAATGTGTTGCACTCTTTCTGAATTTTGATTTTGTCATCCTCCACAAGCCATTGCTCACTTCTTTATCTTTGGCATTTTTATTCAAATCCTTCATTACCATCCCTCACACACGTTAGGCAATGAGTGCCAGGCACTCCTACATACATCGCCCCATTTGAACCCAGGGCACTGTGGTCCCATTTCACAGATGAGTAACCGAGGAGATGTGCCCAAGAGCCCAGATTGAGTGCCCATCACTGCCAGGTATAGTTTTTCCAGAAATCTACCTCTAGGATTACAGTGACCCTGAGCCACAGATCTCTGCTGTGTGTGTGGTGCACCAACCAGTAATGGAACTATCTATCTGACAGAAACTATTTATCATCCATTCCTGCGATTCTGTGACTGCCAGAGGGAGAGAGGGATTGTGTAAAACATGTGTGTGTGCACACAAGGGTTCATGTGGTGTAAAAATGCCACTGTCCATTACTATTAATCCACTTTTATTATTGAACATCCACAGTCATTGTTTCAGTTTTCACCAATCCTATATAATAAAAGACAAATGTGTAAATCCATGGAACTGCAGAACCACCTGTCGCTATGACATGCAATGACCACCAGGGGGCAGATGCCTGCTGGTGGTCAGTGTGCTCCTACAGGGGGAGTGCTGCTCAGCCAGAAGCCAGGCACATGGCTGGTGAGCACAGCAGTGGTGGAGGGAGCCTCTCCTTACTCCACAGCAGCGCTAAGGATCTCCCCACTGATGACTTAGGGGAGCGGGCCTAAGCCATCAACCGGACATCCTCCGAGGGCTCTCAGACTGTGAGAGGGTACAGGCCAGGCTGAGGAACACCCTCCCCTGCCAAGTGCATGAATCTCGTGCACCAGGCCTCTAGTATTCTTATGAATTCCAATCTGAAACCTTTATTCTTGTTTTTCACTAAAAGGCAAGTGTATCCTCGAACTCCATTCTTCATGGCCCTCTCCCTCTTTAGTCTTTTTAAAGACATGTGATGAGGTTGACATCTCAAGTGTGCATCTTCTGGGATTCTGGCCAACTGACCTGGATATGGCTGCAGAACCCTATGAGCCAACTTGGACACACCAGCCTGGTGCCAAGCCAGGCACGTGGGAAATGGTGTTGTATTTCTATAGCTGCCAGAGATGACGCCTAGAGGACTTCTCTGACTGGCTTGGCTTGTGGAGGGAGAACAGGGCTTTGTGATTTGCAGACTTCCAGTGCCAGGAAGTTACAGGGATGTTGCTGCTTAAAATCACAGAAGTCTTGGTTTACCTTCTGGTTCCAGTGAAGCCAAGGATACTTGTTCAATCCTCTTGGTTTGTTATTCTATCCAGCTTAGGCCAGGATAAAATCCTCTGGGTTGCGATTTGAAGATGAAAGAAAAAACTTGCAAAATTACAAATAAGTGTGCAATACCCATATGAGCTCACACTGAATAACAGCAACCCATATTGCCTTCTCTCAATGAAGTTTTCATCTGGAGATGGGTGTGGATGAGGTGAGGGAGAGGACCTATAGGGAACCATCATGAGGTGAGATGGAACCCTAATAGCCATGGGCTGTGGACCTTCTCCGGGCTCTCCTCTCTCTCTGTGCTTGGAATGTTCTCCCCCACTCCCTCCATTTTTTGTCTGGCCAATTTCTACACACACACACACACACACACACACACACACACACACACACACACACACCTGCAGCTGTTTGGGGGGGAAAGGGGGGCGGGATTAGGGAAAAGCAGAACAGAACTGGAGTCCTGCCCTAACTTGGCCAGTAGGTGGTGCAGGTGAGCCAGCTCCCAGACTAGGGCTGGGAATGGGCAAGCCCTGGTGGGTGTAGGGTGGAGCAGCTTTGCCAGGGGTGATTGCCAGAACCTGCTGCGTGAGGAGGCGGGATGTCCTTCTGGTGCATGTACAGGAGAGAAGGAGCAATGGCTGGAGATGCCAACTTGCTGGGGCACTTGCTGTAGCAGTGGGCCAGGTGTTGGTGTCCTGGAACTTGTGCCCACAAAACTGCTCTGGGCACATCAGGATGCAGTGGCCAGGCAACCTGTCCTGAGACCTGGAGGAGGAGGCATGCTCGTCTCCCAGAAGAGCCCAGCACTGCCTGAGGACACATTTCCCTTTGCTCGTCGTCAGCCTCTGCTCTCTCACTCATCACAAATATCACTACACTTCCCTTCCTTCCCCTCCCCACCCTCTTCCTGTCAGCCCCCAGCAGGACCTCTCTCAGCTCCCTGCGACCTCACACATGTTCCTGTGACCACATGCCCAGAGCTTTCTGCACATCAGCCTCAGCGGATGATGAACCCTCTTCTGTAAGGTCCACCTTTCCTTCCCTTCATCTCATCCTTTTCACACCCCTTGGGAATCCCCCCTTTTTAAAATCCTCACCTGAGGATATGTTTTTATTGATTTGTAGGGGAAGGAAGGGAGGGAGCGAGTGTCGGAGAGAAAGGGAGAGAGAGAGAGAGAGAGAGAGAGAGAGAGAGAGAGAGAGAGAGAGAGATTAGAAATACCAGTTGGTTGCCTCCCATATGTGTCCTGACGAGGGATTAAACCTGCAACCTAGGTATATGCCCTGATGAGGACCCAAACCCACAACCTTTTGGTGTATGGGATGGGACTCCAACTAACAGCCAGTTTGTGTGGGACCTTTGAGGTCATAGTAAAAAGTGATGTTTCTGGGAGATCAGCCCTGGGATTAGACTGGTGTAATTTCAGCGTTTCCATTGAAATTTCATCTTGAGGGCAACAACAAGGGGCTGTCAGGTCAGATATTTTTGTTTGTTTGTTTATTTGATTGGTAGTTGGAACTGTTAGATGTTCCCTGAGTGACTTTCCTGCTGTTCCCTAACCCACCTCCCCCCCAAAAACAGCTGCAGGTGTGTGTGTGTGTGTGTGTGTGTGTGTGTGTGTGTGTGTGTGTGTGTCTGAGAGAGAGAAAGAGAGAGAGAGAGAGAGAGAGAGAGAGAGAGAGAGAGAGAGAGAGAGAGAGAGAGAGAAATCATGGCCTAAACGTTCCCTGAGTGAGCAACCTGAGTGCTGCCCAGGTTGCCTTGTGGGTGATCCATATTCTCTGAATCCCATCAGAGTTTCCACAAAAGAAGGGCATGGGGTCCCTGTATCTCTGGACAGTAGACTACAGTGAAGTGCACTGACTGAAGTCAGGCAGCTTGAGTTTGCAATCCCTGCTCCGTGTCCTTACCAGCTGGGCCACCTTGGGCTCCTAATTGGCACTTCTTGGCTGTCACTTTTCTGAAGCCACTGGATCTAATAAGAACACTGGATGGCCGAAGCCGGTTTGGCTCAGTGGTAGAGCGTCGGTCTGCGGACTGAAAGGTCCTAGGTTCGATTCCGGTCAAGGGCATGTACATTGGTTGAGGGGACATCCCCGGTCGGGAGTGTGCAGGAGGCAGCTGGTCGATGTTTCTCTCTCATCCAAGTTTCTAGCTCTCTATCTCCCTTCCTCTCTGTAAAAAAATCAATAAAATATATATTTTTTAAAAAAGAACACTGGATGCCCAATGCACAAAATTCATGCAAGAGTAGGCTTTCCTTCCCATGGGTGCTGGCACTGGCTTCCCTCTGGCACCTGGGACCCAGGCTTCCCTCGCACCCCCAGCTTTGTCCAGAAGGTCATCCAGAAAGACATCCAGTCTAATTAGCATACTATGCTTTTATTATTATAGATAGATTAATATTAAGGGCAAAATGTGTTAGTGGAAACCAGCAATTACTTAATCATTAAATATAATTTCATATTATAAAATAAAAGACTCTCAGCAGTATGAGAAATGAAGAGCCTAATGTGACTAATGAAGAACTTGGATAAGAAACAATGGTGCGGAAATCAGTTTGGCTCAGTGGATAGAGCATTGGCCTGTGGACTGAAAGGTTCCAGGTTCGATTCCGGTCAAGGGCATGTACCTTGGTTGCAGACACATCCCCAGTAGGGGGTGTGCAACAGGCAACTGATCGATGACTCTCTCTCATTGATGTTTCTAATTCTCTATTCCTCTCTTTTCCTCTCTGTAAAAAATCAATAAAAATATATTTGAAACAACAACAACAACAACAAAAAAACAATGGCAACAGTCAGTCAGGCCATAGCATGCAGAAAGAAGGAAGGGTCAGGAGCCATTTCTGAGATCAGAACCAGAGTCTGGCAGCTAATTGCTTGCAAATTTTAGTTAATATTTGTTGAGGCCTAGAATGCTCTTGGCTGATATGAGCATTTCATCTGCACTACCCCATTCACTCTTCTCACTAGCCTTCTAAGTGGTGGGTCTATCTAGTGCATTTTACAGGTCTGGGAACTGAGTCTTGGCCCCAGATCCATCCAGCTTCAAAGTACAAGCCCTGAGCTGGTAACAATACCACCTCCTTCGTGGGGTATAGAGGAAGAGGAGGAGGAAAGAGTGACCTGAGGTTTTATAGCTTGGGAAAGGCTTTTGGGAAAAGGAGAGACATTCACTATGGGGCATGTGGGAGCCGGGATGGCCATTGTACAGCCCACGGCATGTTTGAAACTGCAGCTCTAAGGAGGACCTGCAAGCTGGAAAGTTCAAACTATGATGGTGGGTGAGATCATCAGCAAAAGAGCAGAGACCCAGAGAAGAGAGATGAGGACAGAGCTCTGGCTGAAGAGCACCTGGTAGGGAGTGATAGGAAGAAGCCAAAGAGGCAAGAGGAAGGCGAGGAGCACCATGTTCCCTTCCTTCCAGCAGTTTCTGTGGAATTTTAAAAAGGCGCGCGCGCGCGCACACACACACACACACACACACACATACACACACACACACACACACACACACACACACACACACATATATATATATATATATATATATATATTATATATATACACAAACACATATAGACTATTAGGGATGAAAAAAATACACTTAAAGATGCAGCAAAGATTAAAACAGTAAGTGGATATTATGAACAACCTTAGGTCAACAAAATAAAAACAATAAAATGGAAAATATTCTGAGAAAGATGTAAATATTCAAAACAGAATTAAGACTAGGCATTTTGAATAGTTATATAACCAAAGAATTTAAACTTTTCCCATGAAACAAAACATCAAGCTCAATTTTACTTGTAAATTTTACTTATGTTCCAGAAATAAACTTTTCTAGGTATATAAAAATCCTTAAAGAGTATAAAAAGACAGGTTCATATGCCATTGGGTTTTGTAAAGCTGTCTGTTATCCTTGACACCAAAACCAGAAATGGATAGTAAAGTAAAGAAAAACTGCAAATGAATATCTCATATGTATACAGATGCAAAATATCAAATAAAATTATTAACCTAAATCTCAAAATGCATAAGAACAATGTAAAAATAACTTGAATTTCACTCTAGGAATGCAAAGTTGACTCAACATGGAAAAATATATTAATATAACTCCCTCTATTCATAGATTAGAGAACAAACTCCATGGTGTCACCTCAGTTTTCAACCACCATATAAAAACTCTTAACAACCTAATAAAAGAAGGAAATCTTGAAGACATTTAAAAGTACAATGCAGTGGTTGGACTATTCGGTCTTTAAATATCATACTTGTTTTGATCTCCACAAAGGACTGCTGTAAAATGATGATAGTGCTAGTGACTATAAATGAAAGAGCTGGGGAGAAATGATTTGTCTTTCTGTCTCAAGCCATCATTGAGTATGAAGAACACCTGGGTTTATTCATGTAGCAGGTGATTTGCATTGAGTAAATCAATACATTGGCTTTTACTTCTGGCAGATAGAATCAGGATGTGACAGAGGACCTGGACCAGTGGTCGGCAAGCTCATTAGTCAATAGAGCCAAATATCAACAGTACAACAATTTAAACTTTTTTTGAGAGCCAAAAATTTTTTAAAAATATATTTTATTGACTCTTTACAGAGAAGAAAGGAGAGGGATAGAGAGCCAGAAACATCGATGAGAGAGAAATATTGACCAGCTTCCTCCTGCACACCTCCTACTAGGGATGTGCCCGCAACCAGGGTACATGCCCTTCACCGGAATCAAACCCGGGACCCTTCAGTCCTCAGGCCGATGCTCTAGCCACGGAGCCAAACCAGTTAGGGCAAGAGCCAAATTTTTCAAACTATGGCTTGAGAGCTGCAGTTTGCCAACCATAAGCCTAGACAGTTCCTGACCTAGCTGATGTTCTCCATCTCTTTTGAGGTTCTGTATTAGGTCATTAATGGAGTAGCTGTACCTTCTTTCTTGTTAAGTGGCAAGCGTCCCGTGTTTCCCCAGGACCTGTCTGGTCCTGGTGTCAAACATCTCACACACTTAGGCTGTGTTTTCCTAAATTGATGAGGCTCCTTCCAGACAGCAGGAAACGGCTCCTCTACCTCTTGTCCCTACATGTGCCTAGGAACAGCCTTACTTACTGTAGAGGCTCATGAGCATCCAACACAAGGACTCCTCCTGTTAGTGTGGGTAGCATACGCTTGGTGGACTTAAGGTAAGGTGACTAGACGCCCCACTTTTGGCGGGACAGTCCCAATTTCCAACAATTTGTCCCGCATAAAACGCCGCAGGACGCGGGACCAATTGTTAAAAATCGGGACTGCCCCGCCAAAAGCGGGACATCTGGTCACCTTACCCTAAAGTACAGCCGCCCTGCGTTCAGACCTTGCAGAGTAGGCTCTGGACTGTGAGAGAGCATCTGCCCAGAGCAGCCACGTCTTTAAAAATCATGGAGCTCGATGAGAAGACCCATGGTGGCTACTCAGGGCACAGGGGCTGTTGATTGACATCTTTCCCCAAGATAGCTGTGTTTGGGGAGCACTTTGCCATCTTAAGCCCCAAATCAGAGTTCTTCCCTCCCCTGCCAGGCATTCTTCCCAGCCCTGGAGACTCCCATCTCCCCTTCCTTCCTCCCCCTCCCCAGTAGAATAAATAAATATATGTGCTGCATGAGTGGACACCTGTGGGTGAGCGAATGGAAGAAGAGAGAGAAGAGGAACAGAATGAATGAACTTGGGAGCTACAAAGACGCGTGGATACCCAGACATTCTCGTGATCAGCACATTTATTGGCCGAGGAGGCATCGGGGTTGGGGAGGTAGCCGTACAGAAGCCAAGGGGGAAGCTGCAGGACAAGACACAGCACGAGTGTTCAGTGGCTTCTTTCCGGTGGCGGGTTCAGACGTTCAGGGTTTGGAACCTCACGGCGTGATCAGGAGATCACTAAGCCCATCGGCGATCGCGGAGAACCCCTCCAGCTCCTGCGCCTCCGAGGCGCCCCGGGGGCCTTATTTGCACGGCCAGGAGGGCGCCTGCTTCTGCTGGGTCTGGTGGCACACGGGCACGCACTTGGCGCCCCCGGAACCGCCGCCGCCGCCCCCGGAGGAGCCGCCACCGCAGCCGCCAGAGCCGCCGCCGCCGCCCCCAGAGGAGCCACCGCCACAGCCAGAGCCGCCGCCGCCGCCACCGGAGTAGCAGCCGCCCCCGGAGGAGCCGCCGCCGCCGCAGCCGCCGCCCCCGGAGGAGCCGCCTCCGCAGCCGCCGCCGCCGCCGCCGCCGGAGGACCCCCCGCCGGAGCACTCCTGGGGCACACAACAGACCTGGGCGGACTGCTGGGAGGAGTAGCCGCCGCCGCCGCCGCCAGAGGAGCCTCCGCCGCAGCCGCCGCCGCCGGAGTAGCCGCCGCCCCCGCAGCCGCCGCCGCCGCCGCCGCCAGAGGAGCCTCCGCCGCAGCCGCCGCCGCCGGAGTAGCCTCCGCCACCGGAGCTCTGGTAGATCTGGCCGCCGCCGCCGCCGGAGGAGCCCCCGCCGCAGCCGCCGCCACCGGAGTAGCCTCCGCCACCGGAGCTCTGGTAGATCTGGCCGCCGCCGCCGCCCCCGGAGGAGCCGCCCCCGCAGCCGCCGCCGCCGCCCCCGGAGGAGCCGCCCCCGCCGCAGCCGCCGCCGCCGGAGTAGCCTCCGCCACCGGAGCTCTGGTAGATCTGCTGGCCGCCGCCGCCGCCACCAGAGGAGCCGCCCCCGCAGCCTCCGCCGCCGGAGTAGCCCCCGCCGCCGCCGGAGTAGCCACCGCAGCCTCCGCCGCCGCCGGACGAGCCCCCGCCGCAGCCGGAGCTTCCGCCGCCGCCGGAGCCGCCGCCCCCGTAGTACTTGATGCCGCCTCCGGAGCCGCCGCCGCCGCCGCAGCCACCGGAGCTGCCTCCACCGCCACCGCCGCAGCCGCCGGAGCTGCCGCCGCCGCCGGAGTAGCCGCCGCCGCAGCTAGAGCCGCCGCCGCCGCCGGAGCCGCCGCCACCGGAGTATTTGATGCCCCCACCGGAGCCGCCGCCGCCGCCGCAGCCCCCGGAGCTTCCACCGCCGCCGGAGTAGCCGCCGCCACAGCCACCGGAGCTGCCGCCGCCGCCGCCGCAGCTAGAGCCGCCGCCGCCGGAGTACTTGATGCCCCCACCGGAGCCGCCGCCGCCGCTGCCACCGCCGCAGCCGCCGCCGCCGGAGTAGCCGCCGCCCCCGGAGTAGCCGCCACCGCAGACAGAGCCTCCGCCGCCGCCGGAGCCGCCGCCCCCATAGTATTTGACGCCGCCTCCGGAGCCGCCGCCGCCGCCGCAGCCACCGGAGCTGCCTCCACCGCCACCGCCGCAGCCGCCGGAGCTCCCGCCGCCGCCGCCGCAGCCGCCGCCGCCGCCGCCGCTATAGTAGCCGCCGCCGCCGCCGCAGCCGCCGCCGCCTCCGCCGGAGGATTTCCCGCAGAACACGGGGGGCTGAGGGGTGGGCTGCTTTTTCTGAGACATCTTCTCTGAGGTGGAAGGAAACCCTGGAAGGAGAGGAGAGAGCATCATGGACCAGTGTCCAGAGGATGCAGGCGAGGAGGCAGCTGTAGCCATGGCAACCCATCACCCAGAGCGGCATGGCTTGCTCAGGCTTCATGCTCTCCTTGTTCAGATCCCGGGGAGCTCTCGGCTGGGCTCTTTAGAAAAGAGTTGCATCCTCTCTTTTTCCCCACGCTCTGCCTAGATAGCCTAGTGAGTGGTGCCCTTTTTTTTTTTTTTTCTCTCCCCAGCTCTGCCTCTGGCCTCCTGGGTGATTTTTGACCAAAGGACCCACACTCATTTCCTGTAAAGTGAAAGGTTGGAGTACTTCATCTCTCAGATTTCTTCCAGTCCCAGCACCAATCCAATGAGTGCAAATAGGAGAAGACCACAAACCTTCACCTATGGTGGGGATTTTACTCATCCCCTGCACAACAAAGGCTTTGTCGGAAAACCAGAAAGCTGCTGTAACATATTCTCTGCAAAAACATTTGGTTCAGGCTCTTGGTCTATCCCACTGAGCTTGGCCATGATCTGGGACAGTTATCTGAAAAGGGAGGCTCCGCCATGGTCCTGCCTGGACTCCATCGGTCTTTTGGATCACCATCTCACCCGATGCAGCAGCCACCACCGCCTTTACCACTTGTTAAGTCCAACCTTGGTCTAGGGGATTGGACCAGTAGGAAGTCGGATCTCAGGATCTCACAAGTCATTTCCCTCTCAGAACGTCTCTCTCTGTGAAACAAGCTTTGGGGTTCTGATGGCTCCTACCATCTCTCCCATCGGCAGCATTCTCTGACTCATTCTCCCTTCTACTCCTTGGGAGTAGGCTCCACCTCTCCTGGCAACCCAGTCCCAGGCCTTGTGGGACAGTCTCTGTCCAGTGTCTCCCTGTGCCCAGCACCATGCCTGGCCCCCTACAGGGGTGCCTGAGAGATAGGAGAGTCAAGTCTTGCTTTGTGACATTTACATTCTGGTCAGAAGACACAGCTTCAGCCCAGCGCCCCCTTTTTTTCCCTCCTGAATCCCCTCTAAGCACGAATGCAGTTGGGAAGCCAGAGGTCCAGTAGCTCCCAAGGCAGAGAGAGAGCTTGCCTGTTCATCCCCTGCTCTAGCCTCTGCAGGCCTGGGCCAGACCCGCTGAAAAGACCAGGGCCAGTGAACCCACACTTACCCAAAAGAAGAAGGTGAGTGAGGAGAGGGAGATGCTGGCTGTGTGGAGAGCACTGGAGCTTCTGAGGTTTTATACTCTAGCTGTGACTCATCTATTGATCGGGGCCAGTCTCTTTGTGTTTGACCTGTTACGTGACCCACGTTGCCGCCCCACCCCCCTGTGATTGCAAGCATTCATGAAGATTTTGGCATTCTTGAAATGGGCAGCCTCGTGTGTGACTGGCCCCTCTTCTGACGCAACTGTGCAGCAGGCTGGGCAGGGGGACGGCCAGCCGGAGTGGATGACTGACATTGTTTTCCAGTCCTCTGGCCCCGGGTGCGTGCCGTAACCAGAGGCCCATGCCTGAGGAGTGTGTCCCTGACTGACTCTTGAATTGGCCTGAAGGAATCACCCTGGAGATTTCAGTCCTTGGCCCAAAGAGTGGGACCTTTCGAATCCCACTGTTTGGCTTCCGATCCCATTGCTAGGAAATCTTTGTAACTCTAAAGAGAGCCTGCCTTCTCTTTTGACAATTTTATATATAATTGTGTTGTTTTTTTTTTTTTTACAGAGAGGAAGAGAGAGGGATAGAGTTAGAAATGTCAATGAGAGAGAAACATCGATCAGCTGCTTCTTGCACACCCCCTACTGGGGATGCGCGCGCAACCAACATATTATACATGCCCTTGACTGGAATCTAACCTGGGACTTTTCAGTCCGCAAGCCGATGCTCTATCCACTGAGCCAAACTGGTTTCAGCAACAATTGTTTCTCCCCCAGGGTCTCATGTGCTCTGCTGGGCTGTTTCCATCTTGCCCACTAGCTTGCGAGAGTGAATGAAACCCTTGCACCCAATTCGGGGTTGTACACCGTGGCTACTGCCGTAGCTAATGGGGCACAGGTGGCTACTTTGATCTGTTCCTGGGACAGCAGGGGTCTGTGGAAATTGATAATCAATACTGACTTTCCTTGCCGAGGAGCCAGCTAGAGATCCACCAGGTGGTCCCTGTGGCTTTGGTGTTCTGCGGACTTGGGTGGCAACAATGACCTCAGCCTAAGAGACAGCCATGGAATGAATAAACTTGGGGTTCGGTGTCTGGGTTTAGGTGCTCCCTTTGGTACTTGCCGGATGTGTCACCTTGACAAAGCCTCTGCACAGGAGATTCTGAGTCAGTATTTTGTTGGCTGTTGAGTGAACAAAGCTCAGTGACCTTGCCCATCAGATAGGAATAGGAACACCTGTTTCATAGGCTTGTCAAGAGAAAATAGTTTCATGCAAAGTGCAGAGGCGATGCTGTCCTTTTTATTGTTTTCTCCCCTAAAGGCACATTGGGACCTCTAACGTGGACTTCCCTTGGGCCCCCAGGTCAGGAGGGCGCCCACGGAGGACTTGAGGCAAGCTCTTCTCTAGGAAAATACATTTCCTGTTGACCCTGGGCCGGCACCATCCCCTCTGTGTGTGCAGAATAGCATGCTCCCCCTTCTTTCATCACTGGAACTCGGTTGCTATTGTTCAAGATGCCACGTTTGAACGTTGTTCCACCCAGCCGCATGTGGTAATGACAGCTCCAACAATAAATTGATGCTTAATTAAGGTGGAGTTTTAATGAAGCAGATGATCCTGATTGGGCTGTGACCTTTAGAAACTGGTGTCACTCGTTTCAGTGTGGACAGCATGAGCCTGGTGAACGCAGGGACTCCGTCCACAGAGGGTGGCCAGGAGGGAGATGGGAGGATCTGTTGAAAAATGTATACTTTATTGATTTTTTACTGAGAGGAAGGGAGAGGGATAGAGAGTTAGAAACATCAATGGGAGAGAAACATCAATCAGCTGCCTCCTGCACACCTCCTATTGGGGATGTGCTGGCAACCAATGTACATGCCCTTGACCAGAATCGAACCTGGGACCCTCCTTCAGTCCACAGGCCAACGCTCTGTCCACTGAGCCAAATCAGTTAGGGCTAAAATATCATTTCTTTTAAAGGTGATAGAAAATTCTAGTTGCTTCTTTCATGTCCTTGTCAAAATGAAAATTTGGCTGTCATATAGTAGTTATTAACTATATATATATATATAAATTATATATAATTTATATGTATATTTATATATTAATTATATATAAATTATATATAAATTATATATAAATTATATATAAATATATATAAATTATATATAAAAATTATATATAATTATATATATAGGTGGAATGAAAATTATATATATATATATATATATATATATATATATATATAATTTTTTTTGAGGGTAATGTTACTTCTCTATGAAATTGCAAAGTTCGGGCAATTCCAGTGCAGGTGACCTCAAAGGGCTAATAATCTTCCAATGACCCATGCTAATTTGGAGGATTTACGTTCTAAGGAAGATATGTGTTGTTTTCCCTTCTATCAGGTTGAAGAACCCAATGCTTTTTCATGAGTGTAGGCAACCCCAGTGTACTGGGCTTTAGGCTAAGCGTCAGGGAAGAGGCCGAAGGTTTTCCAAGCTGTGCATGGATCTCCTTGGTAATCTGGGTAGGGAGTAACTCCTTGTGTGCCTCTGCCACCCTACAGAGCCTATAAGAAAAACCTAACTAGTCCACTTACTTTGTTAACTTTCAGAAGCGCAGATGCAACACAGTGCCAAGAGCAGTGCCAGATCCTGTGGCTCTTAGCCCGAGTTAACTTTGCCTGGGGTGGGACTACATGACCCCGCTTCCCGTTTTACTCTCTGGACCAGGAGTCCCAATGGGCCATGTATGGGGACAGCAACTGGTTGTCCTCATTGCAGCATTCAGTGAGGAAATGATGGATGTTTGTAGAATTACTACACTTATATATTTGAAGTTTTGCAAGACTTGGCATGCCAGGCTCTTAAGATATATGGCCTTTAGACATGTAACCTTTCAGTGTGCTTGCAGCCGTGTCTGAGACCTGCAGCCTGACAGATGAGGACACGATTCTTGCCTGGACATGTGTCCTTAGAGGGGACAGCCGTAAAGCAGATGTCTCACAGTGCTCAGGGCGGTGCGAGGCATTCATAGGAGTTGAAGTGGATTCTTGCCACCTATTGGCTAACAGCCCTGGCTTGAAGGAGACATGGTCACTGTGCCCAGCAGTCCTCCATCTGAGGAGCGATTACAGCTCCTAAGTCTGGGGACCCTCAATCTGAGAGAAGCCCACTCATCACAGTCTTTGAGTATCTAAAGCCATGCATGAACATTCACAAGTCGTAATCGAGGGGAAAATGGCAACAGGTGCTCTGTAAAGAGAAATGAACATAGGGCAGGCAAAGAGTTTGGAAGCCTATAGCATCATTTATTTCTCTTAGATTCTGGGCCTGCGTATCTGAGAGCTCGGTACCAAGCCAGCTCCCTGTCTCTACTCTTTCCAGCCCTTCTGGGTGAGCAGTTTGAAGAGGTGGCTGAGCCTGGTTGCTGAGTGGGGAGAACAGCGTAGAGGTCTTGGAGAAGGCCAGGTCCTGAGTGGCTCACAGCTCTGGAACTCCTTCTCCAGGAAGCTTCCGGAGGTTCATCCCACCCACTGGTCCCATCTCCCTGGCCACTTTCCCTCTCTGAGACCTTCAGGAACTAGTGGACTGGTTCCTGCCTGCAAGTCACACACCCAAGTGACCTTGTCTCCTTTTTCAAGTTACAACTGTCCTTGAGGGGATGGTCCTTGTTGGTTCTTTACTCCGCATCCCAAGTTTCACAGAGTTTATAGCCCCCGGGGCTTTCCCAGAACGTATGGGCCATTGAGACCCTCCCAGGTTCTCATGTGGCTCTTTGCAGGGAGGAGGACCACAGCTGAGTGGTTCGTGGGTTCCCACCCGG